TGACGGGAAGGGTCTGGCGGCGCGTGGGCGCCGCGCTCCCGGCCTGGCGTTGGGCTGAGGGGGAAGTTGCCCCTTGGCCGAGGATTTAAAGGATTGCTGCTCTTTCTGGCCTCCTGTTTTAACGATCCTCGAAGAACATCTCTTAGTGATGTGTTTTAACAAATTTAGCTGGAAAAGGCTGAAAAATTAACAAGTTGGAGGAGATAGCACTGTTGGAGTGGGATGGGCGGAGGTACGATTGCCTTATAATCGCATAAACTTTGTTAAAAGTGTTCTGAAATGCTTTCTTTTTACATAAGGTAGAAACAGTGGATACTATTTGCAGATTTTCAAATGAAGGTGTAGTTTAGAATAAAACCTTCTTGGGGAAAAAAAAGTCCTGGGTGCGTTAAGCTGTGCAGAATATGGACTTTGAATCTAAAATTGTAAGTACAAAAATAAATCGGGAGCATTGCCGTATGTAATCAAAAAACAAGCATTAACGTGCAGAGTCTGCTGATACCAGTATATGTGTTGGTTTAAGTAGCAGAACACAGAGCTTAATTCTTGTGTTATATTTGTTTAATAAGTTCATCGATATCAAAGCTGTTTGACTTTATTGCTTATCTTGCTCCATCCCATCCAAGATCTGAGATCAGAATGCTGAAATGCCGAGGGAGGTCTGAATATCTGCTAACATAGTAAAGGTGGCTTGCGTTAGGCACTGGAACATTTCGTCAGGTGTGCTTGACAGTCGTAGAACTAAGGTCTGTTGAAATAAGCAATCTCCTGGAGCTAAAGGTTTGCTGAAATAATTAGCTGGCTGGAGGATTCTTTACAGAAAATATATCTACTTACAAACAAAGGGAAAGTTTCTATTTACGGCGTATTTTTCTTAGTAGGCTTCTATTTATAGGATATTTTGTCTGCAAATTAGAAGTGTGCTTTTATAGTTGATCTTCAGTGACTCGCAGCAGAACAAGGTAGTAGAACTTAATTTTAGAACCTAGGAACTCTGTCTGTGGGAACAAAAATACAGGCAATCGCATTTTGAAGCTGCACTGTACTCTTTTTAGTGTCATGGAGTTGAGGATAACGAAAAGTGAGTCTGGTTTAAGTAAGAGACAGAAATATAAAAAATGTATTTTTACTCTTGGCAAAGAAATTTTAGATGGTGGTACGCTCCAGGAAATTACAAATGTTTTACAAGTTTTACATGCTGAGATAAAAACTGTTCAGGCTCTCTCGGTGAACCTAACACTCTTGCCTCTGAACAGGAATTTCTCTGACTCCAAACAGGAGTTAAGGATTTCCAGAAACGTTACTGGAAGTCTTCTGGAATGGAAGCTGTAACTAGATAAAGGCAATGCCAGAAGTGAAAGACTTCTGTCTAAATGTGAGTGCTGATGCTCCAGAAAATTGGGGAGTGAAAACTCTCACTGCTCTCAGTTGGTTTAGTCATGTAGTTCTAAATATGAGGTGTTAGGACAAGACGAGTTTGTAGCCTTGCCCGGTCCCTTTATACCAGGGTTAGTCAGCGTCTTGCTGTTTTCTGTGCCAGTTTCTTCTCCCACATAGTAAATGACCACTGGGGGCATTGAAAATACGCCCATGACTTCCTAATGCTTGCACTTAGGTTATTGTTGTTAAGCTGTGTTCCGTTTTTCAGTGTTGCACAATGTTGACTTAGTTGTAGACAGCAGGATCTCACTGGGCTGGGAGCACCGAGGACCCTCAGCTCTGTCTGAAGAGCTGCAGAAAAGGATGCAGGGGGCAGCAGTAAGATGGCTCTATCTATGAAACCACTGAAGTCTGTAGCATTCTGTCTACTTCAGTCTCTGTCACCTCATTTACTTGGCAGTATCAGCATCTGGCGATAGCTGCCCTAGAAAACACTGCTGTTGATTCTCCATTAGTTATAATTAATACTAAATGTCTACTTTTCCTCCAAGACTTGGTGAGTTTCTGTAGTATCCTCCAAGTCTAAGGGTTTATACGTTCAGAGGCCGAAGCTTGCAGAGGGCAAGCTCAGAGATCTGGCTGGAAACTGCATTCCTTCGTGAGCTCTTGCCTTGCTTCAACCTCTTAATTTTGTCCTTTTTCGGAGAAGAAAGTAAAAATACTTTAATAGTGAGAGGAGATTTAATGCTTTGGGAAGTGTCTTAAGAGGGAGATAAGAACATGACAGAGAGATTTTTCTGTTACTCGGAACTGCCGTACATGAAAGAACCCCTATAAACCATGCTGCTTAGACCGCTCGAGTTCAAGAAGTGGACAAAATGACGTATTACCCTCTGCCAGTAGATAAAAGTAGCCTTGAAGCTTGAAGGCATCGTCTCCTCTCAGTACTGATTGTACTTGAGTGAACCACTCCTAAGGGGC